ATACAGGAATCATTTCAAATACACTCTATCAAATAATCACTTAATTATGGATCGTTTGCTATGGTGCATAAGAATAGTGTGAAGTAGAGTGTATTAGTAATGTTGACATTACAAATTGAAAAAAAATTGCTACTTTTGTTTCGGATCTTGGTTAATACCTTTGAGAATTTAACTAAGTAGAAAAATTATGATTTAATAAAAATATCATGTGTGGATAAGTTTTACCTGAACATATTTCACCAAATTGCATTGGACTTTCAATGTTAGACTTTCGTTAGGATTGGACCCTAAGTTTAACACAAGCACATAAGTTAATGTACCAACAAAATGAATCTACATTAAACCATACATACCATGATCCAAAAATTTTCATGCAAAAGTTTCAACTAATCCTAGTGAAAAGAAAGACTAATCCATATATTTCATAGTGTATATATTATAGAATAATTGATACAATATTAGAGTAAAAGATAGAAGAAAGAGTAAAAAGGGATCGATGAAACAAACTAGAGGAGGGAATAAGTGAACTTGATCATATACAATTTGAATAGAAAAAGAATAAGGTTATAAATCTTAAATATTATGGTTAAAGTATTTTTAAACAAAAATTAAAATTAAAAAAATCGTTATAATCACATGAACCTTCCGTATTCATAAATAAATTAACTTAAAATAAAGAAAAACAATCCAATATGATTAAATTTATGATACTAGAGTTATATTACTATGTGAAATTGACATACAAAATAATATCCTTAATCATGAGTTAATTTATCATCATATAAAATATTGAGTTGCTTATAAATTATAATTCATTTCTTATCTCACGTATTAATCGTTTTCAGATTTAGGCAATTTTCAATTTACAAGTATCAATCATTGACGGGATCAACTGGAATCATAATAATTTAAAATTGGATCTTATCCTAATTATTATTTATTATGCCCCTTAATTAACATATTTCTTTTTTCTATTTACAGAAGAAATTTTATATTGTCTAGAATGAAGAATGAATTTAAATATTGACACGTATTTAAAATCGGCTCCTCTCCATTTTTGTTCTCTCTATTTTCTCCAAGTTTCTATTTGGATTAGTGACACATGACATAGGTTAAAATAAATGGTTAAAATTTAATTTCTAAAATAAATCCTGACCATGATTTAATTAATAAATACATTATATATTAAGTATTAAAAATTATTATAATATAACTATCTTAGCAACATATTATCTTGTCCTAAAATATAGAGAAAAAAATTCTCTTCCTAAATTTCTTTTATACGTAAGATTTTTTTAAATTTTCTTTCAAATAATCTTTTTATCTAATTAACTGAACAGAAGTATAGAAACTATAATTAACTATTGTATGTACTGGTATCGCCGTATTCATAATCTTATTATGAAATTGAAATTAGTTTGTTAAAATGATTTGATTATCTCTAGGTAATTTATTAATCACGGATCAATATGCTTTTAACAAAAGATTACAATAAAACTATTATATAAATGAAAAAAAAAAGATCCTATGAAAAAAAAAGGAAGAAAACTTTTCTTTTCTATATTTATGGACAAGATTATATGTTGCTAAGTTATGAGATTATAATAATTTTAATATTTGATATATAATGTTTTTATTAACTAAATCATGGATAGAGGTTAACTTTAAAAAATTAAATCATAATCATTTATTTTAACTTATGACACGTGTCATTAATCCAAATAGGAACTTGAAGAAAATGAAGAGGAGCCGAATTCTTTTTTTATATATTTTACATCAATTAGTATGATGAGATACTCATTTAATAAGATTAAATTATGACATTGACTATCTATATATAATTAATATACAATTACGTAGCACATGCTTTATTTTATTTTTTTTGATCGTGCTCTCCACATTTGATTAGCTAATATAATTGATTCTCGTATGTCTAAAATAAATGATATACTTGATTTTTTTTTAAAAAGTCAATCTATAAAAATAAGAAGATTGAGAACTAAATATTACATATTTACTATTTAAGAATATTGTAAAGGTGCTCATGAATCATCATTCGTCCTTGTATTTTTATCATATGACTCAAAATCAATATATTTTATTATTTCATATTTGAAAGTAATTTTATTTTACTCATGATAAAGTTATTTTCTTTATTATAATATTAATGAAGTTTATTAATTTTAGAGAAATAAAGTGCTATGATACTAATATATTTTTTTAAAAATAATTCTTTTATTATCCGAAAGTGTAGATATTAAAATTGATTTGCATCTCATTATAGATTTTATATCATTTATTTATACTCATTAAGTTATGGTAGAAGTTTACTTTTTATAAATTTCTTTCGATCATGTTATAATTTTTTTAAATCATTACAATCTTCGATAAGAAAAAAAATGTCTTATTTGATTTAGAGTGAAATTTTAAGAAATTTCTTTTTTTTTCGACCTTATGATCTAAATTAAAGTCAATTCAATCTACTATAATGTTTTTTAAGTGTGGCATCAAACATATCACCTAAAATGATGAAATTAAAATATTATTTTGAAAGAGATTATTTTTTTAAAAAACAAACTAAAAAAAAAAACAAATCATTCCTTTTACTATGGAGAGCGTATAATATTTAAAAAAAATTATGTTATGACAATATTTTAATATAATATAATTTTTTTTTAAAAAAAGAACCATGTAAATTACTGCATTTAACCTTCACATTATAGTTGATATTGGAACTTCCCCACTAACACTCGAGATTCACAATAAAAGAACACATATTTTGGAAATGTGATAATGTACAGAAATCTTTTCAGAAACTTCCTTAAATATATTTTGAAAATTACTTACTGCCACGCCAATTTACTTGTCCATATTTCCTCTTTTAGCTGTTTCTATTTTTTTTTGTTTATTTTGACAAATCAAGTAAAAACAAAAAGTATTTCCTATTATACTCTCACTTAAACTTATTGAAAATTTTCTGAGTTTTAATTCATCATTTTTGATACATAATTAATATGAGTAAAGTTGTAACTTCACTATGCTAGCTATTGTTATCTTAATATGTGTGTCATTTTTAAAATAAAAAACTTAAATAGAGAGATAAAGTCTTTCTATTTACTACTGTATAATCTCATTTTATAGTTCTTTCTATAAATATACATGCCCTTGGTAGCTAATTAGTTGACAATTCTAAGAAAAAAAAAGTTCCATAAAAATGTCATCGAGTGAGAGTACTTCGAGTGAGCTTCTTCATGCTCAAGCTCAAATTTGGAATTATATTTTCAACTTCATAAGTTCTTCAGCAGTAAGATGTGCATTTCAACTAGGAATCCCTGATGTTCTGTACAAACATGATAAGCCCATGTGTCTATCTGATATTTCTGCTGAACTGTCTGTGGTCAATTCTTCAAAGGTTTCCTTCTTACCAATTTTAATGCAGTTTCTTGTGCAATCTGGTTTCCTAAATCAACATGAAGATCACTATTCTCTTACCCCAGCTAGTTGCCTTCTTGCGAAAGATGATCCTTTCAATGTTAGGTCACTCTTGCTTCTCAATCATGGTCAAGCCTTTTCAAAAGCATGGCCTGAGTTAAGTGATTGGTTCCAAAATGATTCTCCAACTCCTTTTCATACCGCTCATGGAAAATCTTTATGGGATTTTATTGGGGAAGAACAACCTAGTGTACTAGGTGATATTTTCAACGATGCATTGGCTAGTGACTCCAGGTTGAATACTAATGTGCTTATTGCAGAGTGTAAACATGTGTTTGAGGGGTTAACATCGTTGGTAGACGTTGGGGGTGGCACTGGTACTGTGTCTATAGCCATAGCCAAAGCCTTTCCTAACATAAAGTGCACAGTACTTGATCTCCCTCAGGTTGTAGGTGACCTAAAAGGAAGTGGGAATTTGGACTTCGTTGGAGGAGACATGTTCGATATGATTCCTCATACTAATGCCATCTTACTCAAGGTACGTACAATTTTAGCTACAAAAAAAATTTTCTTGGATCTTTCAATCCTTTACTTATTTCATCATTGATATGGAAAAGTGTGTTCTACACGACTGGAATGACGAAGATTGTGTGAAGGTACTGAAGAAATGCAAAGAGTCAATTCCAAGCCGGGAAAAAGGAGGGAAAGTAATAATCATAGATACTGTTCTGGAGGATCCGAAGCAGAGCAATGAGTTTGTTCGAGCACAACATAATATGGGTATGTTGATGATGGTTCTTTTTGCTGCCAAAGAGAGAACTGAGAAAGAGTGGGAGAAGCTCTTCAGTGAAGCTGGTTTCACTGAGTACAAAATATTTCCCGCTCTAGGTTTAAGGTCTCTTATTGAAATTTACCCTTGAATGAGAGATGATTGAGAGTGCTTGCATGTTTCTTTACTCTATTAGTAATGATTTTGGTTCACAAGCTCCATTTTAATCTATATGTTCTTGTTATACTATCTTGGACTGTCACTGTAATAATGATCTTTTCCGTTTGGTTTAACTATTCTATATTCAAAACCCACAGACTCGACTAATTAATTCAGATCCATAGAATAATTAGGGTCTACGACCCTTTTGTTGTGACTAGAAGAGGAGTCACAACCCAAAAATATAATACAAATTTAACCTCAAACTTAATCCTGAGATGTTCCACCGTCCATGTTGTATCTTATGCACATTTGTATCCAAACCGAACACTCAATGACTCTAGTTCTATAAATAGCGCACAATTTCAACATAAACAATTCTCAGGAAAAAAATTGGTCTGTTAAGTGTTAAGTTGCATGAGATTTATATTGTTCTGCTCTACCTTTGAAGTGAATTTTGCATCTGCATGTTAGTGAAGCCTAAAGTACTCGAACTCAAAGAGTGATGGGACACCCTTCAAAAAGACATAAATTCATCAAGCGCATCCACATTTCCCCAACAACCTTACCAATGTGTATCTATAATCATATAAAACAGTACAAGTGGGAATTCTGAATTGAAAATCTCAAAGAACAGACATAGGGAACACATGGAGCATGATCAAATTACAATATTGCAACTTCTCGTTGAATTGTTGAAGTATGTACGTTCATTATCTTAGAACCTTCAGTACAACAAAAAACAATAGCATAGCATACATGTGCTGACATCATTTACCTACAGAAGTTTGTTGTAGTTAATTTTCTTACAGAAGGTAAGTGAAAAACATACCACACCAGCATAAAAGATCTTGGTTTCTTCTTCCAGGGTACAACAGAGACTCCTAAAACTTCAAATCTTGTAGCTCATTGTTGCTCAGTGTCCAGTTGACTGACAATGAAAGAGAGGAGCCTCATTAGCAGTGAATTTGTTTAGTCATGAATTAAGTGTGATAAACATATAAGATAAATGGAAGAAGAAGTTACCCTTACATATATCTTGTTTCACGATGTGGCTTCAACCCCAATAACACTACCATCTGCTCCTTCATTGTTTGATGCATTCTCAGAAGTCTCAGTGCAGGGGCTACTTCTCATTATATCCACTTCATTATGAGAGGTAGAAGCTTTTGGTCCCTGGAGAGCTGTGGTTGAATTAGTTTCAGAATTCTGTTGTGAAAATCTGCTTGGGAAGCTTGGTGAACCAATTGCTTCTCTTTCACAATTGAGCATTGAAAACATTGATGACTTGGGAAATTCAGCAAGTTTTGACGGCAACTCTGATGGATTGTAGAAGAGCAGATGAGCTACAGTGCGGTCTATTGGATTCGTCTCTGTCTCTACAAGGGGTGGTCTGACAATTCAGGGAAACAGAAAAATGATGAATATGTTCACAAAGAGCTGCAGATGACTTCTGTTCCCATAGATGAATATGAAAGAACAAGGAAACTAGTACTGCAATCCCACAGCTATTCACCCTCATAATTTAAAGTAAATTCAAAGCTTATATAAAGATGAGTAATCGAGAGTATAGGACACATTTCAAAGCTGAGATCAGTTCTATAATGCATGTAGCAATAAGTTGTAGGGAGATCCTCTCTCCTTTCCTCTTTCTGCTAACCATGGAGACCCTGAATAACATGTAAATTACGGCTCAGAGGAATAGTAGACTCAAAGGATTCAAGTCAACAGCAGGCAAGGTGATTGCATGGAAATTACACATCTATTTTATGCTGCTGCTGATGCAATTATCCAATGTAGAAGTGGAACTTATGAAGATCTTCAGAATTATTGTGACAATCTTTGAAGGGGTTGCAGGATTACATGACATGTTAACTGGATGAAGAATTCTATATTTACGGTTCATAACCCTCAATATTAGGAGGAGAAGTGGGATTTTTGCATACAACTTATCTTGGCATGGTACTTGGAGCAAATAGATAATCCATGACATTTGGAATGGGATTTTAGATAAATGTGAGAAGAAACTTACCAGATGAAAGAGCCAGTATTATGTCTTTAGGTGGCAGGCTAATTTTCATAAAAAATGTCCAAGATGTTCTACCTACCTACATGATATCTCTTTCCCCTATCCCCCCTTAAGTTGAAAAGGGAATGGATATGTTGAGAAGCAAATTTTAGTGGCAAGGAAACAAGTAAAAAAGAGGTGCCCATCTTGTCAAATGGGAAACCCTGACGTTCAACAAACAGCAAGGGGACTTGGTATAAAGAATCTAAGGAAGCAGAATCAAAGTTTGCTCATGAAGCGGCTATAGAGTTATTCAAATGAATACTAATTTTTTTTCATCAAATGAAAACTAATCACTCTGGAAGAAGCTGATTAAAAAGAAGCATGGAGAAGAAGATGCAAGGAAAACCAAAACAGTTAACATTGTATATGGGTCAGTGTTTGGAAGACTATAGAAATCTATTGCAGATATTCAGTATCAATATTAGCTTAAAAGTTGGGAATGGTCACAAAATTTCTGTTTGGGAAGACAACTGGTTAGGATCTGGGCTACATCTTGGTAGCTTCTATCCCCATATTGATGAAGTATGGAATAATCAGGGTTGGGACCTCAGTTTCAGAATGCTTTTAAATGATTGGAAAATGGACAGAATCATAGGATTCCTCAACTCTCAATCTCTTCAATGGAGTCTCACTAGAACAAGATAGATTACGGTGTTTGAGAGACAGTTCAAGAGCATTTTCAGCCAAGACAGCATATCATACGATGAACCATAAGAACAATCTTAATATGTAGTGACCCTGGAAGCAATTATGAAAGGCCAAGATACCATCCAAAGTGGCATGTTTTGTTTGATTGGTAGTTAAGAGGGCTTGCGTGACACAGCACAGACTGCAGAGAGGAGAATACACCTTTGCTCTATCTGCCATCTATGTGGAAGAAATGCAGAAACAAATAGCTATCTTTTTTTTTTGCATTGTAAGGTGACTTCTCAACTCTGGGACATATTTCTAGCAATGATCAGTTTGAGCTGGACAATGCCAATGAATACACTAGATATGATATCTCGCTGGAGTAGGAAAGGAGGAACAAACGCTCAAAAAACCAGTTGGAGTATAATCCAGGCTGCATATGGAGGAGTATCCGGAAGGAAAGGAATTCAAGATATTTTGAGAACAAAAGCAACCCTACTCCAGAAGATAAGGCTTAATTGTATTCTTCTTTTGCATTTTGGTGTAAACAAGAATATATAAGTGACACAGAGACTCTCATACAGTTCCTAGAGTCTCTAGAGTTATCTAGCAATTTTGTGCGTAGCTTTTACTTCGATCAGATTCATTGTAACTTGGTCTTCACAGGCCCTATTAATTTCAATACAAATATGTTACCATACAAAAAAAATGCTGTTGCTAGGATAAAGCTATAATTTACATTCTAAATCCATTCGCACGAAGATTAGTTCCACCTTGCATGGGTTCTTTGGAACTGATAATACATTAACATTCTGAAGTTAATGAATAATTCTACTGAATTCAATATAGAGTCTCTATTAAACAAGACCACACTGGGAAACATGAGACAGAAAAAGGGATTGCTAGGATCTTTTTTCCTATAAGTAACTAAGTAGTGCATGCACAAGCCTTTCACTAACTTTGGATTTGAGCTAAATTACTTTAAATTAAGTTCAAGTACAATTTTGGATAGATGCTGAGGAATCAACCTGATCTAGACAGGCTGCTAATGGTAAAGGGCAATTTGACAAATGAATTTACAAATCTGGGAGAAGAATAGCAAAAAGAATGCAGTCTTTCACACATCATAGAGTAGAACTACAAAGCAGAGATGAAGCATATAACGCATCTTTGCAACAATTATCAAATTATGAAACTGTTTGATGAAAGAAGCATTTGTATTGCATAACATCCAAAGATAATTGGAAGTCATATATTATAGCCCAACTAATGGTGGAACAGGAAAGCGGCAATAGAAAGCGCACAGTCCAGTGTGTTGTAATTGATTTTGATGAAATAATGCAAGTGTTTAGATAGAGTCATGCTCTCGTAAGCAGGAGATAACAGGAGCAGTTATCCGGTTCTTGTTAACTGTTATATAGAGAGGCAGCAATTTGGAGACCCAAGCTAGAGGTGAGGGGTTTATGCAGATCCCTAATTTATCTGAAATTGCATCAACATCATGTACAATAACCAGATTGCACCAAAGAGCTCGCAAAGTAAGACATTGTTGTTTTGGACTACTTAAATTTCTCCGACGGCCTTAAAAAATTCTGTCGTTTCTTTCAAGCCAAATAGTCCACCGAATGGCTTGAGGTATGGTATTCTAAGTCTTTTGTGATTTCTTGTGTATCCCATCTTAGCTCCAACATATAGCTCCCTAGTGGATATTGACATAGACTAGGACATGCGTAAGGTTAACAAAAACTATGCTTGACAGCTGAGTAGTAACTCTACAATGCAAAAAGAGGTGGCCAACATCTTCAGAGTGCTCTTCACACATGGGGCACCTACTACGAAGCTGAATTTTCCCCTTTGAAGGTTGGAATGAGTGAGACAAGCCTTTCTAGACACAATACAAGAGAAGCATGAGACTTTTAAAGGTACCTTGCTAAGTCAAATTTTTCCCAAGGCCAAGAAACCTTGTTGTTACTTGATTCCAGCTTCCTTTTGCAGCTTTTGACAGTAAGAGACCTTTGGGCTGCCCCTTCCATCTAGTAGAATCAGCTTTGTTACAGTGCAAAGTTCTGTTGCTAGCATCTGAAGCAAAAGATATACTCATTCTACATCCCAAACATTTACATTCCTTCTAAAAAAGTGATTCCACCATTGTGTTGAATAAAATTCTGCAATTACTGCATTGTGCAGAGCTGATATTCTAAAAATATCCAAGAATTGTTCTTTAACAGGAGTGTGGCCCAACCATGCATCTTCCCAAAACTATATTTTTCTTCCATTACCAAGAATGCAGCCCATATGTGCCTCAAAGTTATTCCAGCAACCTCTAATATGCCTCCAGACTCCCGTGTCATGAGGTGTTGTGGCTATGTAACACAGGAGTGCACCATTGGTTCTCCACAGCGAAGTTTTCAACTAAGGTTCTCCTCCATAGTGCTTTACCTACCTTATTGAATCTCCAATGCCATTTCAATAATAAACTTTCATAGTGACGGCTCAAGTTCTTGATTCCCAGACCCCCTATTCTTTTGTATTTAGTAACTATATTCCATTTTACAAGTGCGGAGGAGTGACCTTGTTTGTCACCATTCCAGAGAAAGTCTCCATAATTTGTCCATACGCTTCAAGATAGAGGACGGTGCCAGGAAAAGCGACAGGCTAAGGTAGGCAATGCACTAAGAACACCATTGATCATAGTGATTCTACCACCAAGAGAGAGGTATTGTAGCTTCCCATTCGTCAACTTTTTCTCCATCTTTTCAAGAACCTCGTTCCAGATTGATAATGATTTGTATTTCTCCTCCAGTGATAAGTCCAAGTACTTTGTGGGAAGTGGACCAATGTTTCCTGAGCTGCACTGTATATCAACTTGCTGAGCTCCTCCATGACAAGGATGAAAAGAAAGGTGATAGAAAATAGCTTTTAAGCTTTTGGAGTGTTTGGGTATATTAAAAAAGTGCTTATAAGTATTTGGTTTAAAGCTAAAATGAGAAAAATGAGCCCAGAAAAAAAAAAGGCCAATCCAAATAGGCTTTAAGTATTCCTGTGCACCCACAGTGAATTTTCTGTTTCTGCCCTTTGATCCCCCACTGTCTGGGGGCTCTTTCAATGGAACAAGGGTAACAACCAAGGCATTGCCTCCAGAATTGACAGGTTCTTTTTCTCCACTGATTGGGATGAATATTTCAGGAAGATCAAACAATCTCTGGTGACCAGAATCACATCAGACTGCTGTCTTATTCAGATTATTTGTGGTGATTGGGAACAAAGGAAATCATACTTCAATTTTGCTAATTGGGGGTTGGTGGTAGATAATTAAAACATGGTGGGTCATTTCAGGGTCATCCAGACTTTATTTTAGCAACAAATCTAAGATTTTTGAAAGCTAAATTAATGGAGTGGAATGCTAGCAAATATGGCAATTTATTATACAGAAATACAGAAGTAGGAAAGATCGAAAATCCAGGACATTGTTATCCAAAAAAAAAACTTGGTTGTGATAAAATAAATACTTCCTCTGTCCATTTCATGCGGCATCATTTTCTTTTTAGTTTATCACAAAAAAAAAAGTTGCTTTACAATATTTAGAAACAATTTAACTTAAAAATTTCTCTTTTACTCCCAAGGCCTAGCAAAAGTGGCAAAAGGTGGAGAATCTGTGGCTTAGGTCGCAGGTACAAGCCCCACACCATGCAAAGAAAAGCCCGGTATTTAAGTGAAGGGTAGAGGGGCGGTCCCATTATCCACCGAGTTTAGAAGGTTGTGATTGGTCCAAAGGGCGGGTCACATACGGATTTCTCGGTTATAAAAGAAAAAAAGAGATTTACAACCACACCAATATCTGACAATTATGTTAGACAATAAGTTTCGATTCTTTTTTCTTAAAGATCATACCAAGTCAAACGGTGTCACCTAAAATGGATCGAGGTAGTAGTTGAATAAGATCCAATGCAAGCCTGGTAATTTGACTTTAAAAATTTCTCTTTTAACATTAGTAAAATGATTTAGAACCACACTTATATCTAACAATAATTTTATATCATAAGTTTCAATTCAATTTTCTTAAAAGACAGTGCCAAGTCAAATGGTGTCACATAAATGGAACGGAGTAGTTGAATAAGGATCCAATGCAAGCCTACTGGTAGCAGTTTAGAGCTAAAGAGAAATACTTCAAAGGAACAGGAGAGCAATGAGCACTACATTCAGTATTTTCTTCTCCTAAAACCAAATTAAAGTTAAATTTCAGGGAAGGAAACATAACGCACCTCTTCGTCGTTCCAATTAAACATATCTGTACAACTGACAAAGTCTAAGTACTCCGAATAACTTCAAATTTAGCCCAAACATGGCAGATTTTTTCTTCACTGGATCAGGTCATACATTTCAACCTAAAAACAAAAACACTCGCCACTGAAAATCAATACTCACGGAGAACTTCGCCGGAGATTCACAGAGAAACTTCCGCCGGAGATTCAAAGAGAAGCTTCGCCGGAGATTCACATAGTAAATTTAGGCTTTTTCGGGTACAAGACGAGAGTGATTTTGTGGTTGTGTTTGATGAATAAGAGTGCGCGTGGGACCCAAGTCCACTTGCAGAGAGTGGGTTAATTTGTATGGACGCAGATTTTAACACGTGTTAATAAGCGTATCTAAAGTTGTGGCTACTGATTTCGGATCTAAAGCTGAATTTCTACTGGTTCACTAAACTTCCATAATTTATAAGATTGGTCCTTTTTATTTATTCTATTTTACATTTTTGGCAATTAAGGGTGTTCAAAACAAAAATATATACATTCAAATCGAAAAATCGAATCGAATTCACAAAAAGATAGATATATGACCAACAAATCAGGCCGCTTATATATATGCACTAGATTCAAAAGTTTGTGCTGACATCGGTTCAATTTATGTGACTTGAAAAGTCAATCAATTTATAATGGCTTTTAGATATTCAAAGTTGCTACACAGTAATTGTTATTATCTAAATATATTTATGTAATTTTTAAATATGTATTTAACTAAAAAAAATAGAGCAACTTTCACATATAACAAACATAAAATTCATATTTGTACGTTATAAGAAAGTTTGTATCATTGCACTCCATAGTAAACACACACACACACACATATATATATATATATAATTGAAGCGAATTGTATCAAACGAGAAAGAAAAAGAGACTTGGTTAGAGAATTATATAAAATGAATTGTATAATCATAAGTATATAGAACGATTATATACAATTTAAATTTTTATAAAATGAGAAAGAGAGAAAGACAAAAGAGACTTGAGCAGTGAATATACAATTGAATCGAATTGTATAAAAATTGTATAAAATGATAAAGAAATTATATACAATTTGAATTTGTATAAAACGAGAAAGAGAGAAAGGTAAAAGAAGTTAGGGAGGGGAGTATTTTTATTGTATAATTATAAGTGTATAGGACAAAAATATATGTATTTGCATATGTATATACAATTCTCTCTCTCTTTATACAAACAGAAACACAATTTATTACATTTCGAATCTGTTTGTATTAGCAAGAGAGGCGAGGTGGCGAACAAGATTAGGGAGAGTGGCGAGCGAGATCTGGGAGAGGGGAAAGAGAGGAACAGAATATATGTATTAATACAATTTCCTCTCGCTTTATACAAATAGAGACAAATTTTATACACTTGTGTTTGTATAAAAGTGAGAGGAAGCGAGAGAGAGAGGAGAGTGGCGAGCGAGAGTTTGAGGGAGAGAGGTGACTGACAAACAGTTTGCTACGGGGCACAATTAAATCAAAGGACGGTTATAGAAGTTAATTTAATTTATTAGTTTGTCATTATATACAATTTTCTTAAAGAAAATAAGACAAACAAATTTCAATAAACCACGAAAATTACAAAACTACCCTTAAAATATCAAAGCAATTAATTTGTTGCGGCCTGTTTTAGCTCTAAAATTGCCTTCGTAATGATAAGGAAACATGACGATGGACCGGAGAGGTAAAGCACCTCAACAGCTCAATTGTCTCTTCTTATATAACTAGATGACAAAGCCCGTGCACGCACGGGCCCAACACAACCGTAATTATCATAACAGATTGGCAATAAACATATATATAAAAGCATACATTGTTTATGTATTAAATTCCTTATTACATTGCCTATGTCTGTTCACACTTTTATCCATATTTACATCTTTGTAAAGAATAGTTAAAAATGTTGATGCCTCTGTAGTTAATATCTGCAGTGCAGAGAGAAGTGTTTAGGTTGCGGAGGCATAATTTAGTAAGAATATAGCTAGTATGGCTGATTGATGTAACTTATTTTAACTCCGAGTGTCTTTTTGGTAGATTTTAGAAAAGGTAGCGCATATGCAAAAAGATAGCAATCTAAGATTAACTTTTTTGCACGAACTTTTTGTAAAATCAGGTGTAAGACTAAAAATGAATGATTATTTTAGTTATATGGCAATAAGTAGTTCAGACAGTCTGTAGAATCGTGACCTTCATCAATGGGCCTCAAATTGTACTTACCAGAGAATTAGCTCTAGAATCAACAATTGAGTTAATAACATTGGAGGTCACTCAACTATCAATTCTTTTCACAGAAAGCTACTCAACTTTTCATTTTCAACTCAAAAGTCACTTAACTATGACTTTTTTGCATAGAAAGTCACTCACCCTATTTTATTATTTTTTTCACTAAAATTTGCTGACATAGAATTCTTTTTGTAAGTCAAAAATTTAAAAACCAAATACATATCCATTTAAATCATTTAATGACCAAACCCATTTAACCCGACCTGCTAAAAATATGATATTTAATTTTTATTTTATGATTGGCTCTCCCATATCATTCTCTTTGTCCTTTCTCGTTAGTGTTCCTCTTCTACCTTTGTTTAATTTCTCGATTTCAAAATCTCCAAAATTTCACCATTGAAGATGGAATATACTCCTGAACTGAGGACTTGTGCAACTATCTTATTTTGCAGCATCTGAATAAATTGCAAAACCTATAAGTCTGTCAATAAATTACCATGCCTTAACTCTCAAATTAGTTGCAGACGGCTACAAGATACTCCCAATAGATTTTCGGGTTGCCAACTCGAGTTTTTTGAATAATCTGCAGGGATGGCATAGTTACAGCTTCCTAAAGGACCTGTTAGGGGATGTAATTTTCACAATTAATGGTGATAGGTTGAGGAGTTGAAGAAGTTGTCGAGTCACGAGTTCTCCACAAGGGTCTTAAGAAATTTTAGCAGTGTGATTTTTAGAAAAAATGCAGCCTATAAATTCCGTATACAGGGTTGCCTTTAGAGTTGATCTAGATAGCATGAGCGGTTCAAATGAGCAAGGCAAAAACATCATTACTGCATTTGATGATGCAAATGCAATGACACTTTGGAGATATGTTGATATCTTATGAAAGATTAAAAGAGTCCTTAATATCGAAACATAAGCCAAGTTCAAAGAAATATAAAAACTGTTGATGCATTTGTTTATAAATTGGTCTATAGAAAAGTTGAGCAGATATGTACTCCAAAAGTTGATTTATCTATAAGTTAATCGCCTTTTAGTGTGCAAATGAGATTGCTACTACTGTTGCAATCACAGAAAGCTTGAATTCCAAGAAGCGAATTCTTTTAGTGTGCTTAGTATTAACTGTTGTATTGCATCTTCATTCGTCACTTTACAAAATATTTATCTATAAGTCACCATTTAACTGTCAATTGTTACTAAATAAGCAACATCCTTAAACAAAAAAATACTACTTATAAAATAATACATATAACAAATGAGTTAAGGTCACATGAAGACAAAAAAAAGAGTCGCCCAATAAACTAAAGCTTTCGCTACACATAGAGTTTGAAGAAGCGTCCGACCACAAGTGCGATACGATAATTATATGATAACAAATTTTAACAAAATAAAATATTTCATATACAATTCATAATAACACTTTCTTACGAATGAGTTAAGGTCATATGATCACAAGTTTTGACAAAAAAAGACACTTTATATACAGTGTCATATTAGCACTTTCTAATGAACGAGTTAAGATCACATGACCACAAGTTCTAACAAAATAAGACACTTATATACAGTGTCATATTAACACTTCCTGGACCTTTTCATCGAAGCTTCACAAACATAATCCTTCATGATATTTTTCTTGTAAATTTGCCTCTTTTTGATAAGCCTACATGTGCACTTTCATCTTGAGCACATTGATCTCCTCCCACATAATTATCACTTTTATCTTGAGCACACCGAGCTCCTCGCACACAATCAACACTTTCATCTTGAGTACACCTATCTCCTCGCACACAATCAACAGTTTCATCTTGAGCACATTGAGTTCCTCGCACACAGTCAACACTTTCTTCTTGAGTACACCGACTAGTTTCTCGCACACAATACAATTTCATCTTGAGCACACCAAGCTCCTTGCACACAATCATCACCTTTATCACTCACATTTACCACATCAGTGACTTGAACAACAACTCCATCTTGTATGCATTCAACACCAGTTGATTCTTGTCTTGATTCCTAACAAAAAAATTACAACTTTGAAATTTGCAATATGATATACAGTTTCTGAAATACAATATTAGAAGTGTAGATCACAATCTGAGTTATTATAGATTGATTTGCTAAATTGACCTCCAGTTGAGAATTGTACAACATTTTATGATTAAATTGGTTAGAGCATCCCCACGAGACGTAATCAGACACCAAATCTTGAGTTTCAAAAGATTGTCTTGTTTCTGGCGCAACAATATTGACATACTTATAGTGTCCTCTTGCATTGTGTCCATATATTATTATTGTTGTTGTTGTTGTTGTTGTTGCATATAGAACATCTTATATGAATAGTGCCTTTTTTTTAGCCAGTTCTACACTCAATTTCTCTGACCTACTTTCCGATTGTCTTTGAGCTTCAGATTGTTTCTGTTTTTGTATTTTTTTCAGCTTTCTTTCCTCTTAATTTATGCTTCCTCCCTCTCTTCTTTCTTACTATATTAGGAGGAAGAACCTCACCACCATTCATAACATCTGGCCAACGATCCTCATGATTGGTTGAATTAATGAAATGTGAGTACACATTTTTGAAAGTTTCAACTTTGTAGTATACGCTCACGTTATCTTCAACTCTATCACCATTTTCATGAATACTAACCAAAGCATGAGGACAAGGCAAACCTGTTAAATCCCATTTTCTACATGTACAACTTCCTTTTTGCATATCCATAATAAATGACCTTCCTGGACCCTCAATTGACACCTTAGGTCCACCGGAAAAATTTGGTCTAAACACAGCAGCCTCAAGTCTTATATCGTTCAATTTTTTTTCAATTTTTGGACAGATAAGACCTTGATACTTGCTAGTCGATTCCTTCTTCTTATACAACCTCTTCATAAGCTTATTATTTATCATTTCCAATAGAGTTATAATAGCTTTGTCTCTTGCATTAAGAATGTATCTACGAATTAAAATACAAAGACATAATGAGAGGATTAATATGTGTGAGTGACACTTTATATAAATACAAGAATACGTAAGTACCTATTGAAATTTTCGCAAAGATTATTCAA